TTTCTAAATCTGAAATAGAAGCTCCCGGAAACTGGTTCTTCTTCCCTGCCCATTTTTTGATGGCTAATTTAGAATTCTTCAAAATACTCAAGATTCCAGCTTTTCTCCTATTCTTCTTGCAATCTGTTATTGAATGACCGACCATTTCCTCAAAACCTTCTTCCTTCATCAAATAATTGAATAGTCTAAAAGGCTTTTTGCCCCAATTAATTCCTCCATTTTGTAATAGAATAGCATTGTGATCTGAAACAGATTTAGGAATTAGTGACTGTATAATATCAGGAAAATTAGCCAAGAATTGGCCATCCACCAAGAACCTGTCCAATCTAACAAATGTGGGAACATCTTGGTTATTACACCAAGTGAACCTACCCCCATTCAAAGGCAGATTAATTAAACCTGAAGACTGAATAAACTGACTGAAAATCCTCATTGAGTATCTGTTCTTAGCTCTACCCACCTTCTCATCTTCACACAAGTAGACATTAAAATCCCCTCCCACACAAACAGACAGATTCTGGCCAGAAATGAACAAACTAAGTTCTTCAAAAAAGCTTTCTTTCTCATCCTCCACTGAAGGCCCATAAACATTTATGAGAACACTTCTGAACTGATTAAATCTGAATTTTCCTACAACATCAATGAATCTTCTATTGATGCAGTGATTTTCCATCTCAAACACATTGTCATCCCAGCAACATAATAACCCCCTGAAGAACCAAAAGCTGGTGATTCAATAACACCTTGAAAAATATTCAACCCTTTCCTTCTTAGAAAAGACCTTTGTATCTTCTTGGTTTTAGTTTCTTGTAGCCAAAGAAAAGAAGGATATGTGTTATAGACTAATCTCTGAACCGCTCTCTGTTTCTTTTTTTTTCCCAAACCCCTTACATTCCATGAAATTATGGCTAATTTTTCCTTCATGAATGATAATTGAAAAATCTGAATTCCCCATTATGGCTCCTCAATTGGCCAAATTCAAGCCTCTCTAAATTGATGATTTTTTCCAGAAAGGCTTCCTTCCCCTGCTTAAAAGAAACCCCCAAAACCTGACTAACTTGCCAAGTAGCAACTGCTTCCTCCAAAAGGTCCGAAAAAACCGAAGATGATGCTGTTGAAATATTAACTTGTTCTAAAGCTTCCCTTAACAGCAATCTTTTTACTCTTCTATTTGTAAGGCCAGAATTAGAATTAGAACAATGTCTTTCTGCAACACAACCTTCAGGCTCTCCATCCAAAGTTCTAGCACCAGCTTTTTTAACTGAATTTGGATCCTCACTGCCTTGTAAATTAGACTTTGTTGTTATAGTAAACTGTTGAACAGATGTGCAGAACTAATCTTTAACCTTCTTTGGATCTAAATCATCCTCTCTAGCAGAAATTCCATTCTGTTCATTCCCATGCCAATAATTCCTCCCCTAGATCTTCTATAAACTCTTCTATAGCTGGCCATTCTCCTCCTCTCTAAAGGCTCACTTTTTATAGATAGTGAGCTTCTATGCAAAATCAACGATTGACCTCTTGAATGACTCTTTGATAATTCTGAATTAGGAACTATCAACATTAAATTAGATTTTTTAGCCTTAATTTCTTCACTGCCAGACGAGTCTGGATTATAGCTGGACCCCTTATATTGCTTTTTAACACTGCCAACCTCTACTATTCTCCTATTCTGAACCATTTTACCAAACTTATTAATTGTATAAGCTGGCCCAGAAGGAATTATATTAGAAACCTCCAACCCAGACAACTCATTATCTTCCGGCTAGGCCTGTGGCCCATCAGCCGGATTATTTGAAATTCTAATTCCCAGACCTGCAAAATCTCCTACTTTGATACTCCCAACGTTCTGTGAATCTGACAATCCTCTTTTAATACCCTTCCCATGTTTAGTAAATCTTGGAAAGTGAATTTCCCCATCAGTTTCTACTGAACCGAAAGAAACTCCCTCATCAATCCACAAGTCAACCCTCTGTCTGAATTTCTCTATTGATTTGACTGTACTTTCCTCATTTTCTGACATCTCCCTATCTTCACCTTCCCCAGACATCAACTCACCAAAATGTTCCTCAACTACTCCGACCACCGGAGAAATTTTGAAAAAGGTTTTGAAGATTTATAGACTGATCCAATTTTGATACCTTGTACGATCTACCATACGATCCAAGAGTAATGAATTTTGGAACATCGAAAGGGCTAGCTACTATCATAAGAATTCTCGCAGACGTAAGATCATCCCTGTTCTTAGTGGAATCATGGATTTCTACCATCTTTCCCCATCTCCCTGCTACTCGTTCCAAGAAGGATTCATTCCAGCATAAAAGAGGAACCCCAAATAACTCAACCTGGCAAAAAGCCATTGGAACTCCATCTTCATTCAGTAAAGGTGTCAATCTATCAAACCAGAAGCCTATTTCATCTTTCTTCTTTGTCCATGCCTCCATCATCTCTTCATGAGATTTGAAAATGATTGCACAGGAATTCCGGACATAACCCCAGCTAGCAATCTCTACTTTGTATCCTTCATTAATAAAAGTCTTCTGAACTAACTCTAAATCAAAGGAAAGCTTAATAATCCCCGTTAATGATCTTTTGACCCAACTCGAACTCTCAGAAGGAATATGCATTTCCAGAACATTCTTCCTAACTTTCTCCCTGTGAATCCCTTCAGAGTATAACTCCCTATACCCCAAAGCATTGTTCCTCGTACTTTTAGACAGTAAAGTATCTTTATACGTTCTGTCATCCCTTAAACTCCTGCTGGAAAAATCTAACTCTTTCGACTTTGAAGTTCCTGTTGTAGTCAAATCTAGAGTCGGCTTTACTGGACTATTCTTTTTCGCTTTCCTTGGACAAACATCATTGTATTTTGCAACTCCAACTGTAATCCTTCTCCCATCTATCAGTGAACCATTTAACATATCAATTGTCCTTTTCAAACCAGTTTCACTCTCAAACTGAACAAATGCAAAAGTGGAAAATTTATATTTTGGATTTCTAGTTTCTTTTGGGATGAAAACTCTCTCCACAGTTCCCTGAGACGAAAAAATTTCCCTTAGCACACGTCGTGATACTCTCCTGCTGAGATTGTCAACAAAAGCCTTCTAGACCTCACCGAAATCTACCTTCCCTTTCAACTTTTCTCTCTCTACTTTTCGCTCTCTCTCATCTCTCTTGTTTGTAGACTTTGCTTTTTCACTAGTTTTTCTAGTTCTCCATCGTCTTTTGATCGGGCTAAAATTCAATTATTCATAAAGTCTCAAGTGAGAATTGATGAGTCGTTGGAGTTGAAGGTCGGTCCTAATTCCTTCAGAATCAGGGTGCATGAAATTGATCCTTCCTTCAAACCAAATTCTTAGATCCCTGAAGTTCGTGATGATTCATTAGAACTGGTTCCTTCAATTTGATCGTAACTGTTCTATAGCTCTATGCAGAGGCGTTCGTTCAGTTTTCATTGTTGACAGTGTTGGTTTTCTATTATGCTATGATCTTTTACGTTGGTTTTTTCATTTTGTTTGAGATGTATTTTAGAAATAGGATTATTGTCTTTGTGGCTTTGTGGTTGACGATGGTAGATTTTTAGGTGATATGATTTTTGTAATGGTGTATATCCCCGTATGTGGGTATTCGGTGTTTTCACATGTAATGGGTGTTATTTAATAAAATATGAGGTAATCTTTTCTTCCTTCTAATGTTCTTCAACATACTTCTTAGTATGTGGAAGAATACGAAGGCAGTTTTTAACGAGACCTCCAACTTCTATCCAAAAAAAAAACAAAAGTTTGGAAGAACATGATGAATCATTGGAAGACAAATCAATCAAAATCAAAGGATGCATTGATTTCTAGGTGTATCACTTGTGTTTTGAGTGATTAAAGATAATCGGAAGGAGAACGCCAGTAATTAAGACTTAAAATAATTAACATAATTTTCAAAAGTTCTTAAATAATTCCAACAAATAAAAACACATAAAAGGGCCTTTTTCTATGCAGTATCTCTACTTATTGACAATGGCTTCAACTTTCTCTAGAATTACATATAAAGGCAATGTACAATATCTTTATACTAAATTTAAAGCCACATAACTACGATTTTTTACAAATAATCAACTTTTGACAAATGGGTCCAACTATCTTGGTGTGAAATTTCTTAAAGGGGTCAAAAGCAGGAGACAAAAATCAATCTTTCGAACAGGCTAGCTAGTCCTACAATAAACCAATCATCTTTATTAGTATACAGTGGAACATATGGGGAGGGGAACTGGAAATTATGATCCTCCCAATGAGTTACGATATGATTATCTTTGAAAAATATTAGCTTGAAAGATAAATCTACAATATCTACTGTTAGACATTTACTCAAATTCTAATCAGAAATTAAGTTGGGTTTTATTGTAATTCTACTGGTTGAAGATTACTTGGTGATTAAGTTTATTTAATAAGAATTCTTATTGAATAAAGATTCTTGGTGACCAAGTATTTGACACTATAAATAAGAGTGAGTCTTGGCCTTTAGAATTATGAGAGAGAATTATTTTGGAGATATGTAATCCTTTTGTAGTCTCTACTGGGTTTTGGGATAACATGCGATATCATGTATTTGTACTCTTCAACATCTCTACATTTATAGTGGATTATTATTTTTCTCATCTTCGAACATAGACAAAGTTGAACCACGTTAAGTCTCGCCTCTTGTGTATGTTCTAGTTTACATTGATATCGCTTTGATTATTTGTACACTTATAAATACCTAACAAGAATATCCAATATTATATGAAGTATGGTGATCATGGTAGTTACAGTTGCCAAGTGTTACTATAAAAGAAGAGAATTCTATAATCAATGTCAAATTATAAACTTCTTCTGAGTACTGATTTCAGTTCAAATTCTTAATGGAACACCTTCACCAGCATTCTACTTAATGTCTCAATAACAACTAACAATCCTTGACAATATCAAGATTCAAGAACAGAAATTAGGAAAGAAGAAAATGTAGATCACCTATCAATAGTTCTTCCAGAGAAAATGATGGGTAAATATCTGTAGTACTTTCCAACACCAAACCGTTCAGCTAAATGATGTATCTTTTTTGAGTCTGAAAGAATCAAAGCCTTCCAAAGCTGACAATATTCGAGCCTGAACACTTCATCCAATTTTTTGCAGATTCCGAAGTCCAGAAGAACTGCATGTTCAATCATCTCATCATAAAGCTAAGTACTATATATGCACCATCACATGATTAGTAACATTCATCTTGGACAAAAAAAGATCTTAAGTGAAAAATCAGGACATACCCAAAGAAAAGCCACCCTGACCTTCTGTAGACACCAATATATTACCAGGATGTGGATCTCCGTGCAAGAAACCATGAATGAATATCATTTCAGCAAACACTTCCAATAACAACTTTGCAACCTTCAAAAAACCAATTGAAGGCAGCTCAGGTAAGTTGATCTACTTCAATGCAATAGAATGAAACATGCATACAGCCATTAAAGTCACCCCATTTTGGACATGTTCCAACCAAAAAAACAAAACAAAACTGGTACACTGGTTTACTCACCCACCTCATAAGACAAGTATTATCCAGAACTTAAGAAAATATTCACAAATAATTGCAGCCGAAGAAAACTGATCGTTCAAAATTTTAGGAACATTTCTTGAAAAAAAGAAAACAAACCTTTTCTAGATTTATTTTCTTTCCATTCAGAAATTCAACATCATCAACCTGAAAAAGATTAACTTCCTATTAGCAGTACGATATTGTCAAGTCAAAAGCATAACATGCACATGATACAATGGCAATATCAGCAAATGTACAATAGTTAGCTGTAAGCATCAGACAAACATACGTAGCTGTAAAAATTAGAAGAAAGTGAAGAGATGAAGTCTGAATTTGAATTTTTCAGCTTGATTATCCCCTCGGGCTAGATGGGAATTTACACTATATGAAAATATAGATAACAGGAGACAAACCTAATTTACAGCCTCTAATTTACAGATCCTATACCTACTGTAATCTCAATAATTATGCCTAAAATAAAGTATATCATAACAATAGCAATCAGAAAGCGAGTAATTTCTAAAATTAGTGACCTCACATTTGAAATTTATTATCATCAAAAGGTTGCCCAATAGTTTAGTGACTGATTTATATTTCAAAGAACAAACAACTTGTACCCAAAATCATCAGTTCATTTTCCCTCTCATTGCTAAGTATCAATCAAATAATTGTGTTAAATCGTCATCAAACCAATATGATAAACAAGCCAAAATCACTACTCCAATTGATAAGGCACAGATGGATATTCAATTAAGCACATAGCATCTTTCTTCCTAACCCCCAGAAGTAACTACGATATGACTTTATATTGCTTCACTATTCAAGTAGGGATGCTATCCTGGGAAGGTCAAGAATATAGTAAATTTGGTTCTTCCTAAACCCCCATAAAGTAATTATGATAGGACTGTTTATATTGCTTTCACTATTTGTAGAAATCAGAGTAATTCTCTGTAATTTCTTATTCTTTTCAATATGACAGATTACATATTTATATAGAAAATCTCTCTCTAAAGTAGGAAACTCTAAGAAAGGAAAAATAATAATCCCAGGATATGATCCCTTAAAATGATAACAAATCATCTCTATAATTCTTACACTCCCCCTCAAGCTGGAGAATATACATTGTATAATCCCAGCTTGAATAAGAATTTAATGAAAACAGGCTTTGGCAAAGCCTTAGTAAGAATGTCTGCAACTTGTTCTTTTGAAGGAATGTATGAAAGTGTGGCTATCGTAAAGTACAACACTAAGCCTTCAACACTATCCTGATTCAATATTGTTTATCCTGTGTTTCTCAGGATCAGGATGTTTTGTGTATCTTATGTAATTCTGGTTTTTCAATAAAATGAGGTGCTCTTTTCCTCCCTCAATCAGTTTACATCAAATGTAAACTATGAGGGAGGTTCCTAATGAGTCCTATTCCTATCAAAAAAAAAAAAGGGATGGCAACTCAACCCGAATCCGACGGGTTCCGACCCGACCTGACCCGATCGGGTCGGATTTTTTTAAAAAAAATTCGGGTTCGGGTCGGGTCGGGTTTAGGGTGAAAAAATCCGACCCGACCCGACCCGAAAAATATATATAATTTTATCCTATATATTTAGGGATAATTACAATAATGTCCCTCCATATATATTTTTTTTCAATTAAGTCACTGTTTTCATTGAATAAAATTTTTTTTATTATTATTTCGGGTCGGGTCGGGTCGGGTTTCTAAGTCATATATTCGGGTCGGGGCGGGTCGGTGAAACCTTAATTCGTCGGGTCGGTCGGGTCACGGTGAAAAACCCTTTCTTCTCGGGTCGGGTCGGGTGGCCCAAAAACCCGACCCGACCCGACCCATTGCCATCCCTACATTAAACTGTGTCCTGGAGTTTTCTTCAAGTACTTGAGAATTCTATTTGTTGCTGCCATATGCTCTTCAGTAGGATTAGTCATGTGTTGACTTATCACATTTACAGGAAATGCTATATCTGGACTTGTCAAGGATAAATAAATTAGTTTCCCAACTAATCTTTGAAATTTCTCTTTGTCTACCAAGGACCCATCTTCTTTGTTAAATTTCAAGCTTGCCTCCATTGGTGTATCAATCGGCTTACAACCAAGAAAACAAGTTTCTTTGAGTAAATCAATTACATATTTTCTTTGGTTGATCACAAGTCCTTCTTTTGACCTTGCCACCTCCATTCCTAGGAAATACCTTAGCTTTCCCAAGTCCTTGGTTTCGAATTCCTTATTTAACAACTTCTTCAAATTGCAAATCTCTTCTTCATTATCTCCAGTAAGAATTATGTCGTCCACGTACACAATAAGGATAGCTTTCTTATTTGTAGAATTTACCTTGATGAAAAGAGTGTGATCGGCGAGGGATTGCTTGTAGTTGTTTTTTAGGATGACTTTAGTGAACCTCTCGAACCAAGCTCTGGGTGATTGTTTTAACCCGTATAGAGACTTGTTGAGCTTGCACACCTTGTTACCTTCAACAGACTTTAAGCCAGGTGGCAACTTCATATAGACTTCTTCTTCTAGCTTGCCATTAAGAAAAGCGTTTTTTACATCAAGTTGGTGTAATTTCCAATCGCAATTTACAGCCAAACTTAGGAGTACTCGAACAGTATTCAGCTTCGCCACAGGTGCAAATGTTTCTGTGAAATCTATCCCATATGTTTGTGTAAAACCTCTGGCCACTAATCTCGCTTTGTATCGTTGGATGCTACCATTTGAGTTATACTTTACAGTAAAGATCCATTTACAGCCAACAGCCTTTTTTCTTTGAGGAAGGTCCGTAACAGTTCAAGTAGCATTTTTATCCAGTGCACAAATTTCCTCTTCAACAACCCTTCTCCATTTTGAATCCTTTAGAGCTTCAACTATGCTTGTGGGAACCTGTTCTTTATCCAAGTTTGCTGTAAATGCTTGAAAAGACGGCATCAATGAATTATAACCAGCAAATTTTTCAATAGGATTCTTGGTGCACTGTCTAACCCCTTTTCTAATAGCAATAGGGAAGTCATCTAGAGTAGGGGAAGTGGACTTACTGATTTCTTCTTCTATTTCGGCAGTTGGACCCAAATCCAATTCTCGACAAGCATCAAATTGCAAAACAACCTCAGGAATATGTTTTCTTTTCCTTGTATAGAAACGGAGCTGTTTGATTGGTGTTGTTTGTGGAATATTTTGAATGGGAGTAGGTGTATTTTCAGGAAGGGTATTTAAAGTGGGTATGAGTGAAATAGTGATAGGTACTACCGGTGGATCAATGGGAGTAGTTACAGGTGACAAATCTGTAGGTAAGGACAAAATTGGTGGCAATTCTGAAGGTTGAGAATGAAGAGTAGGAGATACCTGATGTGGCTGAAAATCCTTCCATGTCTCCCCCTAAATTTTAGCCCGAGTGAAATAGGGATCCTACTCATAAAATGTTATATCCATAGTGGTAAAAAATCGTTTTGAAGGAGGATGATAGCATTTATAACCCTTCTTAAGTGAAGAATACCCAACCAGTACACACTTTAATGATTTAGGATCTAACTTGGACTTATTAGGAGCAATGTTTTGGATAAAAACAGTATAACCAAATATTTTAAGTGGAAGAATGGAGGAGATAGGTTTAAAATGGGGGAAAGTATTGCAAAAATATAGATTGAGGTGTTTGAAATTGTAAAACCTTACTAGACATTCGATTGATTAAATATGTGACAGTTAATAAGGTTTCCCCCCACAAATATTTTGGAACATTAGTGGTAAATAGAAGAGAACGAGTAACTTCAAGGAGATATCTATTTTTTCTTTCGGCAATACCGTTTTGTTGTGAGGTGTCAACACAAGAACTAATTTGAACTATGCCCTTTTCCCTAAAAAACGCACCCAAAGACTTAGCAAAAAATTCACTGCCATTATCAGATTTAAAGAGCTGAATTTAGACCCAAATTGAGTGAGAACCATGTAAAAATTGGGTAAAAACACCTGCAGTTTCAGATTTATCTTTTAGCAAATAAGTCCAAGTTATCCTACTGTGATCATCAATGAAAGTGATAAACCACTTACAATTATCAGCATTCTTCACCCGAGAAGGACCCCAAATATCATTGTGGATCAAAGCAAAAGAATGAGAAGGCTTATATGTAGAAGGAGAATAAGTTGATTTAGTGTGTTTGGCAAGAGAGCAAACTTTGCAAGAAAAAGAATTTGGCTTTTTATGAATGAATAGAGCAGGAAAAACTTTTGCAAGATAGTGAAAACTAGGATGACCTAAACGATAATGCCATAACATAACATTATCAACTTTTTCTAAAGCGATGAAAGATTTCGAGATTTCGGTTTTAGTAGAGGTAGGAAGAATGTAGAGACCATTCTGCAAGCTGGCCTTACCTATCATCTTCTTCGAGTTCAGTGCCTGCAAAGTACAATCAATATCATTAAAAATTGCAGAGCAGTGCAAGTCGGTGGAAAGTTTACTAACGGATACGAGATTGCAAGCCAGATTTGGTACGAAGAGGACATTTTTAAGTACAATCTGGTCATTGAGAATAACAGTGCCATGTCCTTCTATTTTGCACAAAGAACCATCAGCCATTTTGACAGCTTTACCAAAGTTTGGAAAAAAATTGCAAAACAAATCCTTATTACCAGTCATATGATCCGTAGCAGCAGAATCGATGATCCAATTAAGGGACGACTGGGAGGAGAAAAAAACTGTAGCATGAGGTTTACCTTCTGGTTCTTTCATGACCAGATTACCTTCTGATTGAACAGCAGAACCAGAAAAATTTTCTGGATTTGAAGTGATCTCCGGAGTAGGAGAAGAAGTTGTGGACATCATCTAGGTTGGAAAGAAACCGTAACCTAAGCTGATACCATGTAGAAATCAGAGTAATTCTCTGTAATTTCTTATTCTTTTCAATATGACAGATTACATATTTATATACAAAATCTCTCTAAAGTAGGAAACTCTAAGAAAGGAAAAATAATAATCCTAGGATATGATCCCTTAAAATAAGGGATTGTAGAAATCTATTTACAAAATCATCTCTCTATAGGAATGGTAACAAATCATATCTCTATAGGAATGGTAACAAATCATCTCTATAATTCCTACACTATTCAAGTAGGAATCCTATTTTGGGAGGTCAAGAATATAGCAAAAATTTGGTTCTCTTTGATAAGGCACAAATAGATATTCAAGTAAACAAATAATTTTTCTTCCAACCCCTCCGAACAACGCAATTACAGTAGAACCGTTTATATTGCTCTCACTATTATCTTGGGAAGGTCAAGAGGAACATAGTAAATTTGGTTCTCTTTGAAAAAGCTACTCCATAGAGTCCTCAATCAATTTGCTTCTACGTACTATAATATTTAAGAAATTATTTATTGGATTTAAAGATTTATGATAAAAGATCCTTCAAAATAAATTATCGTACATTCATAATCAAGAGATTTATGAAAGCATGCTAATGCCAGTCTTTCTGACAGGTTAAGTGCAGTTTAGATCATGGTAGTGACTATAAGTTAGAATCTTCTCAATAAAGTGTCATGACAGCTGACAAGGCTATAGAAAAGACAGTTGATCCAACTTTTAATATGTTTACTAGCTAGCCTGATTTGCACAAAATGTCAAGCCTATCTAATGTATTGTACTGCATCCAAACTACTACTAGAACCACCTACCCAAAATCAAGTTCCAAAACACATGGTTCCAATGACAGGAAGTTAACAATTTGAGCCCTACTAAGTAAAGATCTTTGAAGATAAAGCCTATAAAGATTCTAATGCATTTAAAACCATTTTTTATACCTATTCCTTTTGCAAATTCATACTACAGATATTAGTGCTTGCATATTTAAATGAGTTTGTATCAAACTAACCAAAGCAACACTCTCAAATTTAATGCATCATCCAATAACAAGTACAAGTAGATTAATCATCCCATATGATTGAATATCTTAAACCTACATTGTATAAGTACCTAAGTGAAGATTCAATTTCTTCAGCTTTGTAAAGAATCTCATGAGATAAGAAGCCACAAGTAGAGGTTGAAAGATGTTGACCAAGAATCTCACATCTTTTACATACTGCAAGTTTAAGTGGTTTAAGTGTACTTAACACCTCTGGTTGTTACTAATATAGCCTTTAGGTGAATTTTGATTCAAGCACCCCGTAACTAATGAAAGTAGAGGAACTGCCTTGTTCCTTTGTGCATGCTGCAAACCACAATGTAAATGGAAACATGTTTTGAACTCAAGTAAAGAATGATGATATCTCAGTCACCATGGTGCTTATGTACCTTAATACAATCCTTTAATAGGCTTAGTAACTCTAGGTTGATGCTAGTAATTTCTATTTCATTGATCATTCTAAAGTTGGATATAGCAATCTTTTCCTTGGCCAACAAATCTAAGTTTTTCAAAGACAACCTCTAATTATAACTAAATGTCTCATCTCCATAAAGATATAATCTATTTCCAACATGAGAAACAATTTCACTGCAAGTTTGTCTTAACGAGCATATGCACCTGGTCACACAATATGCAGGTAAATCCTTTAAAGTAATAAAAAGGTAGATTAACCAGGGATGGATTAAAAGAAAAAAATACAATTCTAACAAACACTTATATTTCATGATTTCCATCGTTTTTCCAGTTAGCTCCAAGAAAATTTTGATTAGTTGTATGCCCTTACCTTGTGGCCACGACAAAACTGCATTGTGAGAACTTGCTTTGTTGTAAAATCCTGAAGAGTGGAATGCAGATCTTATATAAATCCAAGCACTTTGCCATGTTTACACCAAGTTTCAAAGCATGGAATACTAAACAAAAATTATTCAATAGATGGTGAACTAGAAAAGGGAGAGTAGAACAACTATGTTATACCCAGAATATATGAGGTACTCTAACAAATTTGTTGTTTTTAAAGTTTCTGGCAATTGTCTCAGAGTTTCTTGCCTCTTGAACAAAATCTGTAGAAATATAGGAGAAACCCAATAAATATTGCATCCATTGAAGTAAGCAGCTTAAAATTACATCTACATTGCCAGAGTTTCTAAAGTTGAAAAAACTGAGAGAAGGATATCGGCAGATATCTTGGTCTGTCAATTCCAACATTAATCTGAGTAAATTAGATAAAAGTCCATGAGGTTTAAATTTAGCATTGAAACACTAGGTTGGAAAATGAAAACATCTCTACAATATCCCTGGTATTTGTTATCTTACAATATTTTAAAGCCAGTTAAATTACAAAATAATGTTATAAACCAATAATGCCTTTCAAAGAAAACAAACCCCTATGAAACAATAACCAGAATAGAATTTCAACTAATCTTTCCACATATCTCAGAGTAGCACACCCTAAGAGATCTTAGTCACTGATTCATCATTTTCACCATCTGTTGCTGAGATTATTCAACGAATTGCTCAAGAAATCATTTCTTACAATATCTTAAACCAAGTACAGATTAGTTATGTTTCATATCTTTTTATTAATTGTGTATACCCACATATAATCTCAACTTAGAGATACAAGAAGATACTTTCAGCTTGTTCGATTTCAATTTCAATTGCTTCTAGATTCTATATTATTGATACTTTAATTTGATTGAGAATGAGGCTGAAAATGTGATTTCCAACAATAGATTGATACCTTCAGATTATTGCCTCCTGTGTTATTAAAGAGAATGCTTTTTCTACATCAACCTGCTTACTGACCTCCAATCGCAAAATTAAAAAATATACTATTTTGCATGTGTTGTGATTTAAAAGTGTGCTCTATTTGCTAGTCCTTTTGATCATATTCAAACCCGTATGAAGTATAAATCTTAAATATGAAAAACACAATAATATAATTATGAGAATCTTCAATTTTATGGACACTTGCATGCTCAAAAAATACACCAAACAATACCAAACTTAGAATGCATGCCTCGATCGATTGATGATCATATATTGCCCATGAAATATAAAATCAAAGCATTGATTGGCAACAATTATAACAGGACTATCAAAGACAACTGTATAACTCACCAAGCTCTAAAGAAACTGCCTCGGTGAATTCTGAGATCAACCACCGAAACCTATATTCAGGAAAAAACTAACCGACCAAAGAGAGCAGAATAAGAAATCCAACATGACTATATGTTTATAAAATTTTAAACAGAAAAGCATTAGGTAAAAACGAGGGAAATAAAGACATCTAAGTAATATTAGCTTGCATAGCAGAAACCAAATGTGGAGTAAAAAGAAACCGCCATCAGAACTCCTAAGTGGTACACATTGCAATCATCATTAATTTTGAAATCAAAGCTATTGATAAGATTTTGAGTACCTAGGAGGTTCTTGTACAAGTCAAAGTGTATTTCAATCCTTGTATTCCAATTTTGAGTAATTTACTCCTTGTACTTCAATATTTGCGAGTAATTAAGGACAATTGATAAACCAAAAAAAAAGGATACATATCAATAACGTGTAACTTTTAGTTCACAAACTGATGACATGGAATGTAATTTTTTTCCTTTGCGTTGACATGGAAATTTTCATCACTTAACAATTTTTATTTAAAATTTCTTGTCAAGAAAAAAATTTCGCATTCCACATCATCAATTTGTCAGCAACAAGCAACAATCATGATTAAATTACTCAAAATTAAGGTATAGGGTGTAAAATACACTTTTCATCATAGTATATAGACCTACTAAGTACGTGAACCAGAAAAAAAGGTCTTAAGGGCATCAATAAAGTGAAACAGAATGACATGGCTAAACTGAAAATATTCAGAAGGATTTATAGAATATCTAAACCGAAATCCATAGAAATCATGAACTTGACAAAAACAAACCCGATAACCTTTGGCAAATATTAAGAAAAAATAAAAAATTCAGTGATTACCCATGCAACAAATTCTGAAAGGAAATACATAATTCTTGTGTCTAACTTCATTTTCTTCTCTAATCCAGGGTATTGCACCTATTCTCCATAAAAGAAAAGGTAATTTGTCATCAATACTTAAACCATATGAAAAATCTTAAATGAATCAAATACTATTCACCAGTCGTCATACTAAAAGTTGGAATAAGCAATAACAAAATGAATTAGAGATATATTATCACCATTATTATTATTATAAAACGAAAAACAATGATTTCTTTCCTTTTGTTTTGACAAATGAACAAAACTGAAGTACTAAATGGCATAGTGAAGAAAGTGGCAACATATTAGTTCTACAAACTTCCATGAAAGTTATACTTTTAAGTAGGTTTTAATGTGTTTAGGGTATTGGTTATATGCCAAATGCAAAGGAAGCAAATTTTTACCCTAAATCTTAGCAAGGAAAATGTAGTCAAAAAATGATAGTAAAACTTGCTTTCCATAAAAATATATATCTGCATTTAGCTTTCGTATGATAGTAGAGCACCATATAAATAAGAGCTTTGACTTCTAACCTAAGAGAGAACATGGTCCCTCAATACTTTCTTAATAACCTTTTCCAATACCAAATAAGTAAGAGCTAGTTATGCTTAAAACACTAAACTACCTAACATGAAAATAAGTATCGTGAAAACAAAAACGATGAGTGAGAAAGAGAAAAACGTAGAGAGAGAGAATTTGAAAGGGAAGTCAGTTCCCGATGAGTGTTGGTCGGCGTTTATCGACAATCTAAGTAGGAGGGTTTCTCGTCGTACGCTTAGGGAATTATTCTTAGTCCATGGTCCTGTTATGAGAGTTTTTATTCCCAACCAAATTAGAAATCCAAAATACAGATTTTCCACCTTTGCTTTTGTTCATTTTAAGAGGGAGGAAGATCTGAAGAGGGTTGTTGATGAGTTTAATGGGGTTGTGATTGATAGAAGGAAGATCTCAGTTAGCCCTGCCAGATTTAAGGATGAACGTTCAAGGTCAGGGGTGGTGCTTGCTTCTTCAAACAAGGCTGCTGGTCAGATTAATGCAGAATCTTCAAAATCAAGAGAAAGATAAAATATTAATAGAAGCAGAAGGGACGACAGAACTTATAGGGACGCACTGTTGTCAAATGGGAATACAAGGGGGAACAAATAACTACTGTCTGAGGATATCCAGAGGAGGAATGTCAAGAAAAATATATTTGAGATGCATATTCCATCAGAAAGTGTCAACTGGGTGAAGAGGTCGTTAACAGGGATTATCAAATACTCTTTTCAAGTTGAGTTCATTTGGAATGCTTTATTAAAAGAAAGCTATGATGTTCAAATTGCTAGATTGGGCTATGTCTGGAATTCTTGTGTTTTAGTTCTTAAATCTCATGAGGAGATGCTGGAGTTATGGAGCAACAAGGAAGAGGTTTTAAAACAGTGGTTTGAGCAAGTGGAACCTTTACTGAATGAAATCGGGGTTCCAATGGCCTTCTGCATGGCAAAAATAAAAGGGGTTCCTTTGTTATGCTGGAATGAATCTTTCTTCGAGAAGTTGGTTGATAGATGGGGCAATGTGGTAGGTATTCATGATAGTACAAGGAAAAGATAAGACCTCACAATGGCAAGAATTTTATTGAAGGTGGCAAGTCCCTTTGATGTTCCAGAGGTGATCACTCTTGGATCGTATGGAAGATCATTCAAAGTAAGTATCAAGATTGGATCAGCTAGTGAGTATTCAAGTTCGTTTTTCAGTAATTTTCCGGTGGAAGATTCCGATGAGGCATTTTTTGAAGAGATTATGTCTGAGAATGATGAAGACAGATTGTTGTCAGATCATGGGGAAGGTGAGACTTGTGCAGCAGGGAAAAATCGTCTGTCAGTGGACAATTGGATTGACCAAGGAGTGTATTGTGTTTCTGGAGGAGCTAGTGAGGACAGACAACTAGCAAGACTTTCCTTAGATAGGAAAGATATTAAATGTGGTCTGTCAAAAAGTCAGACTGTTGGGAATTTAAAAGTTGGTGAGTATGCAGGTTTGGGGATTAGAAGTCAAAATTATTCGACTGATGGATCTCAAGCCCATTCTGAAGACTCTGGGCAGTCTGGGTCAAAAGACTTTTCGGGTTTCATTTCTGGGCCAGCATTTACAATTAATAAGTTTGGGGAATTAGTTGAGAACCTTCATTTACCAGAAAAAAACAGGGAAGTGTTTAATGTATTGGAGAAGAGCCCAATTGTAGAGAAGCCAGTTAGTGCAGAAATAGAGCCCGAAGAAGAAAACTTAAGGCCGATTGAACTGGTTTCAACTAATTTAGGAATCAACTCAAGGGGGAGGCAGTTACATCGCTCTAGAAGAAAGTTCACAACATAGAGTAATGTGCTGGAAACTAGAAGTTTGAGCAGTTGCAAAAGGGTATATAGCAGGTCGAGGGAAAGAAGATATTGGTATGGGGATTTGTTGAACATCTCGCCTGAAACAGGTGGTACCATAGTTACGCAGAGGAAGCTGGATGTGGATTCCAGTACTAAAAATCAGCTTTGTTTATCAGCAGAGCACATTGCTGATGGGAGTCTTATTCCTCGCCTTGATAATGGATATGGGGGTGGGAGCGTAGAGAGGGAGATTGAAGGTTACTTTTCAGAAGGCGAATGCTTAAGGTCCAAATCTGGTTTGTTAATTAGGAGGAAAAGAAGAACTAAAAGGATCCTGTAAATCATAGCTTTAGAGAAAGGCTTGAATTGGGTTAATCAAGGTTTGGTTGATTGAGGGTTTTGTTTGTACCTATTTCCTTTTATGAAGATGACAAAGTTAGTAATTTGTTCATGGAATTTTAGGGGATTAGGGAAAAACGAAAAAAAGAGGGTTGTTCAGAATTTAGTCACTAGCTTTAATCCTACTTTTCTTTGCTGCAAGAAACCAAGACTGAGAAATTTAGAAGGTCTTTTTTTAGGAGAAGTGGAATTAATAAGCTAAAAGGAGTTTTGGATCTCCTTCAGTTGGATCAGCGGGGGGCCTGTTGTGCTGTTGGGATGACAATGTTTTTGAGTTGGAGAGTCAGTTTATTAGCAGGAGATTTATAGCTACTTTTGGTAAATTTCGGAATAATAACTCCAGTTGTGGTTTCATCAATGTTTACGGTCCAACAGTGGAGGAGGAGAAATCTGGTGTTTTTGAAGAATTAAGCAGTTTCCTTAGTGGACAGAATTATCCCGTTTGTGTGGGAGGGGATTTCAATGTCTATTTACAAGAAGATGAGAAAATGGGCAGGGGTCAAAGTAGGAGTTCAATGGAGATCTTTAATGAGTTCATTCTTCATACGGGCTTAATTGATCTTCCTATGAATTGGGGTAGGTTCACTTGGTGTAATAACCAAGAGAATCCCACTTTTGTAAGATTGGATCGTTTTTTGGTTGATTGTCATTTTCTAGAGTTGTTTCCGGGCATTTTGCAGTCTCTTCTACCAAGATCATTGTCAGATCATAATGCTATAGTTCTGGAGAATAAATGAGTGGACTGGGGTAAAAAACCGTTTAGATTATTCAATTATTTGATAGATGAGGAGGGTTTTGAGGATCTGGTTGTTTCTTCTATTCAAAGTGGTAAGGAAAGTCAGAAGAAGGCAGGCATTTTTAGTCTGTTGAGGAACACCAAACATGTAATTAAGAAGTGGTCTGGAAACAGAGATAAGTATCCAGGAGCCTTGATTTCTGAGTTAGAGAAGAAAATTTCGTTGATAGAGGCTGATATTCAACAGAAGCAAGGTGCTGTCGACAGTGAGGTATTAACAGAGTTGAAAAATTATAGAGTTGAAAAATTATAGAGTAGAATTGGGGAAGCTTCACAAGATTCAGGAGCAGATCTGGTTTCAGTACTCGAGATCTAAATGGATTGAAGATGGAGATCGCAATACTAAATACTTCCATACCTGTGCTACAGTTAGGAACAAGAGGAAAGCTCTGCTTGCTCTAAATTTCAGAGAAACCAGTGGAAGATCCAACTGCAATTAAGGCCATAGTAAAAGAGTATTTTTTTTAAGATCTATAATAACCGTACTTTAGAAATTGATGATTTAAAACTGGATTTTCCCAGAATTCTTTGGAGCAGAATCAGTTCTTAGAGCAGGAATTTTCTGAGGAGGAAGTTTGGGATGTTGTGAAGTCTTGTGGTAGTAACAAAGCTCCAGGTCCTGATGGTTTTAATCTGGGATTTTTCAAGAGGTTTTGGCAGGTCTTTAAGGAAGATATTATGAAATTCTTTCATAATTTTTACTTGGGGAATGATTGGGAACATGGAATAAATCACACATTCATCACTCTTATTCCAAAGATTTCAAACATTGGTGGTTTGGACGATTTTAGACCTATAGCTTAGTTGGTGGTTTGTACAAGATACTCTCTAAATGTCTGTCAAGGAGACTTAGGAGCTGCATTTCAGATTTGATCAGTCCAAGTCAATTCGCTTTTATCCCTGGTCGGCAAATCCTGGAATGTTCCCTTATAGCCAATGAAGGGATTGACTTTTGGAGGAAGAATGGTTTAAAAGGTTGTGTTTTTAAAGCTGATTTCAAGAAGGCATATGATACTCTTGACTGGCCTATTTTGTTCAGAATAATGAAGAAAATGGGCTTTGGTTCTAGATGGATAGGTTGGATTTCGAAATGTATCATATCAGCAACTGTTTCAGTTTTGGTGAATGGGGTTCCTACCGAGGAAATTCCAATGGCGAAGGGTCTTCACCAGGGTTGTTCCTTGTCTCCATTGTTGTTCAATATAGTTGGGGAACTCTTGAATTTATTAATACTTAAGTCTGTTTCAGGGGGGCTTTTTTCGGGTTTGGTCATTAGAAATGAGGAGAGGAATTTTAATTTAACACATCTGCAATTTGCTGACGACCTTATTATGTTCTGTGGTGCTTCGAAAAAACAAATCTTGAATGTAAAGAGGGTGCTTCGAGTGTTTGAGATTATTTCTGGACTTCAGCTGAACTTGAAGAAGTGTAAATTATTTGGGGTGAACTTAAAGGAAGAGGAAATTAAGGATTGGGCAGTTATGATAGGATGTTCAATGGGTTCTTTTCCCTCAGAATATTTGGGACTCCCTCTAGGTCCACACAAAAACTCCAACATTCTGTGGGATCTAGTGGTTCAAAGCTTCAATAAGAGGTTAGCGGGCTGAAAAGGCTCCTCTCTGTCACTGGCAGGCAGGCTAGTTCTAATTAAATCAGTCCTATGCTCACTCCTTATATACTTTTTGTCAATGTTCAAGGTTCCAACTTCAGTTTACAAGACCCTCAATTCTATTATGTCAAATTTTTTATGGGGTAGTGGAGATGGGAAAAAGATCCATTGGGTAAGCTGGACCGACGTTTGTAAACCAAAAATTGAAGGAGGCTAGGGGGTTCCTAATTTAAATGTGGTGAATAGGGCACTTTTGGAAAAGTGGGCTTGGAGGTTTGCTATTGAGAGGAAGGGGATTTAGAGGGAAATGCTTTGCATCAAATATAAAATGGACCCTTCCTTGATGCAGTTTGACAGTAAAGTTTCTCTTAAATTTTCTTGGTTATGGAGATCTATGGTGAGTAATCATTATAAAGCTGATTCGATGGGCTGTAGTATCAGATGCAAATATAGCTATAAAATTGGTAATGGGAGGAACATTCGGTTTTGGCAAGACAATTGGGCAATGGATCATCCTTTGATGGTTATGTTCCCTAGACTATTCTCTATTGCAGTGAACAAAACTGGAAGATTATTTTAGTTTGGGGAGTACAGTTCAGGGGGCTGGTTTTGGAGCGTTCAGTTGAGAAGGGAGTTGAATGACTGGGAATTTGAGCAATGGGCAAATTTGATGGTTGTTATCTCTGATTTTTCTATTTCTGATGATGCTGTTGATGGACTGTTTTGGAAGGGGACTGGAGAAGGGGTTTTCACTGTTAAATCATGTGTCAATCTATCTTATTCGGGTTCTTCCGGTTCGGAGGAAGCTAAATTTTGGAAGTCTATTGTTTGGAGGGGTCTGCTGCCTCCAAGAGTAGAGACTTTTCTTTGACAAGTTATCTTAAAGTTGGCAGTGAAGGCAGCTCTGATTAAGAGAGGTGTTCAGGGCATAAATGATACTTTGTGTTCTTTTTGTAATCTAGAAGAAGTCTTCATCGCATCTATTTTTTTCCTGTTCGGTTGTTTGGCCAATATGGACGAAATTCTTGGGCTATTGGAATTTTCAGTCTGTTTTTCATGCAAATGCTAAAAGATTCCTATTGGCATGGAATGACTTGAAGACCAACTCTCTTATCTGGTCATTTATCCCTGGAGCAGTTTTATGGACAATTTGGAAGACCAGGAATTTTATAATGTTCGAAGGAGGGAAGCTTGATCGAGCAGAAATTTTCTTTCTATCAAGGTGCAGGCTTGCTTCATGGTTTCTAGCTAAGGAAACTCAGATTTCTATTTCCAAGGATGATCTTATTGCTGACCCTTCCTTAGTGGATTCCTACTCGTCCCATTCTAATCGGATTTCAACCAAGTTTCCTTGGTCCCCTCCTCCAAAGGGTTTTATTAAACTTAATGTGGATGCGGCTACTTCGAGTGATTGGAAGAGGAGTGGTTTAGGTGGTATTCTGAAAGACATGTCTGGTTCGATTCTTGGCTCCTTCAAAGTGCCTGCTGGTCCGGGCCCCCCAACTTTGATGGAATTGAAGGCTATCCTAAAGGGTTTAGATTTTTATGAATCTATTTGCCATAGGTTTAAAGATAGATTGATTATTGAGAGTGATAGTAAGGTGGCAATTGGTTGGGTTAAGGATGTTGTTTCTTGTCCTGTTGTTTATGTTCAAATTGTTAAAGACATTATTCAAAAGCTTAGTGTTTATGAAGGTCTTATTAGATGGGTTAGTAGGACAGCAAATATAGAGGCGGATGTCCTAGCTAAGGCTGGTATTGGTTGAATTATGTTATGTTAAGGGTTGTTTCTTTCTGGTTTTATATCTCTTGAGGGAGATTTTTGTATTACTTTGTTATTATTTGAGGTTAATGAAATCCTAGGGCACTCTTTTCCTCTTTTCGCTGATTAAGGAACTATTTTCAAGTTCCGTTAATCATGAAGGGGGTTTTTAATGAGGCCTACTATTCCTATAAAAAAAATTAGACTAAAAGATATAACATCACAAACAAGTACCATTGTTTGTTAAGGAATGACTCTTTTTTTTTTTGATAGGAATAGGAGGACTCATTAGGAACCTCCCTCATAGTTTACATTTGATGTAAACTGATTGAGGGAGGAAAAGAGCACCTCATTTTATTGAAAAACCAGAATTACATAAGATACACAAAACATCCTGATCCTGAGAAACACAGGATAAACATAACACTCTAACCCTCGAAAATACACCATGACCATAATACAAATAGCGATGGGAAAAAATCACCCATCAGCCTAACCCCACACCAACACTATCGTAAAGTACAACACTAAGCCTTCAACACTCATCCGATTGCCTGTTTAGCTAACCTATCTGCCTCCATATTGCAACTCCTAGAAACCCATCTCAGAACAACACCCTTTGTAGTAACAAGAACTCCTATTTCCTCCACCAACTCACTGAAAATAGTAGGGGAAGGATGCCGTTTTAAAATCCAATCTACTGCATATTTGTTATCACTTTCCAAAATAAGTCTTCCCTTGTTGGCCCAATCGGATGAAAAGAAGAAGAGCAATCCTTTCTTAATCGCTTTCAGTTCAGATAGTATAGGGGGACCAGGGCCCACTGCGGAAGAAAAATTAGCTAAAGTGCAGCTGCAGGAGTCTCTCAAAACACCACCAATACCACCCTGCATCCCATCTCCAGTCACTGCCCCGTCAACATTGAGTTTGAACATATCAGATGGAGGAGGAGTCCAGCAAATAACCTTCTTAGAACTCGAATTAGAGGGTAATAAGTTAAGGAATGACTCTAACAACAATAATTTAGGTAGCTAGAACATTGTAGGTTTCTCCAATATTCTATTTGTTACATATCAAAACTAAAACCAATTGGCAATAATGGAAAAGCCAACTTATATATAAAACACAAGCTAATACTTAAAAGATATAACACCGTTTAACACTACGTCTCACATGAGCTCAAAAAGGCTTTACACATGGAAAACTTCACAAGGATCATCAACCTCAAAGAGGTAGGCAAAAGGAACAGAATGTGTGTTATGAAGGTGGAATTCTTATCTCTTATAAAAATATATTTCATTATTCTTTGGATAAGTTCAGTAGGACCCTTGATAAATAAAATATTAATATTAGAAGTTTAGGACGCTTAAAATATAATTTATGTTTGGTAGGACTTTATTTGAAGAGACTTATACAATAATAAAAGTCAAGTCAAACTGTTGAAATCTTAGAGAATAGATTGAGAGAGAAAGAAAGAATAAAGAGTTAATGCAAGAACAAAAAATCTGATAATTGAATTAGGAGATTACAAGAGTTTAATCAGATTGAGTTACCTACTTGTAATAGGACTTTTCTAATAAATACTTCTATCTAGATTATGAATCATACTTCTAATAGGACTTTTCTAATAAATATAAACTTCTATCTAGATTGTGAATACTCCTAATTCTTATCTTTCTTATCCTAATGGACTTGTAAACAAAATAAGATTATTACTACTACACGGATGTTTCTGACACTCCCCCTCAAGCTGGTGAGTGAATATTTGTCATTCCCGGCTTGTTTAAAATTTCTTAAGAGGTTTTGCTTGATAGTCCTTTTGTGAGTATATATGCTAACTGGTCCTTCGTTGAAACGAATGGAGTGCAAATTAGTCCACTATCCAGTTTATCCTTAATGAAATGCCTATCAACTTCAATGTCTTGTTCAATCATATTAAAAAGGATTATGTGTAATATTGATAACTGATTTATTGTCACAGTAGAGTTTCATGGGCCCTTCTCTCTTAATTCTCAAATCATCTAGTATTATCTTCACCCAGAGTAACTCACATACTCCCACTTCATTGATCTGAATTATGATTCAACACTTGATCTTGCAATCACATTATGTTGTTTAATTTTCCATGTTATAAGATTTCCTACTATAATCGTACAATAATCAGATATTGGCTTTCTGTCGACTAAAGATCATGCATAATCTGCATCGTTATAAGTATTGTGACGTTTAAACAAAATTCCTCTTCCTAGACTACCTTTTAAGTATTGTGTCCGTAATATCGTGTTTATTGCTTTTAAGTACTAACATGGCTACTACAAAAAAATTCACAATTTAAAATCTCTTAAATGAATTATTAACGTATCAAAATTTATAAAAATAAAAAATACTTTAATTAAAACTATGACACAGTAAAATACATGAACCACCATGGATATATGAATTGCTCAGTCCAGTATAAGAAAAAGGCATTTAGCCACAATTAAACAGTAGAATACAAAGAGAAAAGAATGAATGAGTTAGCAATATTCTGCCAACTAACCTTAATTGCTACTTCTTGATGGTTTTTCAACATTGCATGATGCACTTGCCCAATGGATGCAGCAGCTATTGGTTGCTCCTCAAGCCAAGTAAATCTAAACTTTACATACAAATCCTCTAGTCAATGGAAAATTTAGGTAATTAACGCACAAGTTAACCTATTTCTATCAAATATACCCACAAAATAAATATGTACACTATTATAAGAGCTTACCAAGCCATAACTTCAAAGATGAAATGCATAAAAATTGCAACTCAAAACCAAAGTAGCAATAAGTGGAGAAGTCCAACCTCAATATAAGGGCCAAAATAATGTGTCATTTTGAACTCACTTTAGCCCAAAGGACATGCATTGCCAGGGGAGGCAAGAGCATAGTCATATTTGCAATTCCAAGGGTTGGGATTTTAAATTGTTATAGATTTCCAAAAAGAGATTTTCTTTTAATAATGCAAATTCTTTGAAAAATCTTTGCAATTGGTAGATACATGGTAGAAAGGACACTTAAGGTGATTCAGTATGCATTTCACCAAAAAAATAAAACAATTTGCTTTCATATTTAACAAGAAATTAGGACCAAAAGGCTTAATGTTTCCTTCACGTCCATTTTAATTAAAAGGTTGTGCATTATATGACCTAATTTTTCATCATTACAAAGAAAGCTGTTCAATTTAACTATTAAAAGAACAGCTAATGAAAGACATTAAAAATTAAAGAAATTGGAGGGGGCACTAAGTAAAAGGTCTTTTTGTATACCTTCCCAACAAAAAGAAAATATTTAACAAAAAGGCATGTGACCTACGCTCCCTCACCAGGAAAGGCACTTTTCTTGATTTGCACTACACCATAGTGCCTAGCCTAGGCATATGCCTTTACAGCACTGGCAGGTAGAGTGCCATCTAGATTACATGCCAGCACCTAGTACACATTTATTAATTTCAGGACAGGATCATGCTAATTGAATATGGGGAACTTTGAGGAAATATAAACAGTTATATGAGTCTAAACTATGATTTAAGAAATGCAACTTACACGTCTGACAGATCCTGACCAAGATTGCTGATTATTACTTCTTTTATGACCTTAAAATCACAAGGAACCACCTACATTATCATAGAAATAGAAATTAGAATGAGAACACACAAGATGCGTCTCTTTCAGGATACATTGTATACAGATAAAAGATGAAATGAACTAACCTGATCCTGCAACAAGGAAAGGGTCAAAGAGTATTCTTTGGGAACCTGACGCAGGGAAGAAACAAACTGACCAGCTTTCACGTAAAAACCTTTATTTATTTCACATAATTTCAACAATCTCTTAGCTGAGCGTAAATGAACCTAGTTAGCACCAAAAAACCATATATAAGCATAGAGTGCATAAAGTAAGATCGAATGTTCAACAAAGCTGAAGCTTATCTATACAGCCTTTAGAGCCTACAAAAATCTCATACAAAGAATTAGGTAGAAGAAAGAACATAGGTTCTGTTCAATTATTGCTTGCTGAAAAAATAAAAACCAGCCTGCTTTAATAGGATGAGAATCACAAAAGTTAAAGTTTAACTAGGTATCTTTTTCCTAACTTTTATCTCCAAAGAAAAGCTTATCTTATCTTCTAAGAAGATAGAACCTAATTATAAAGTACAAGTTAATTACAATCAGAATTAGAATTTAAGATAAACAAAAACACCTTTTCTAATAGCTTTTTAATTACATCAGCTACATGGGTAGGCATTATGTTTCATGGCTTTGTTCCACAGATTTTAATGAGATTGTTGAATCAGCAAAGTTCCACATGTACACTCTTTTTCCACTCTTTGTATCGGAGAGCAGCTTTTCAAAGAGGCACCTTTTTAATTAAAAAAAGAAGAAGATGAATAATGCATATAGTTTTATTTTGCTAAAAAACTAAAATACTAATATGATCTTATAAATATATGTTTGAGATGGTATCTTATAAACATCTACTCCGTAACAAGGTCAAGAACCAACTAGCTCATCATTGTAGGTTACTAGCTCTGTAAGTAGAATTCTAATTTATGAATGACCATTACATGTGCACTCTTTTTCCACTCTTTGTTCCAGAGAGTGGCTTTTCAACAAGGCACCTTTCTAATTAAAAAAATGAATAATGTATATAATTTTATTTTTCTAAAAAAAACTAAAATTTTAATATAATCTTATAAATATATGTTTGTTTTATTGTACTGTTTTTATGTGCTTTTCTAACTAAGTTGGAAGTGTCACCAAACTCAACCCGCAACTAATAGTATATAGATGTGTTACCAATGCAGCCATGAAAGGAAATGCATTTTAAGAGATCCTTCCAAGAGGAGGTAACTCCGTTGAAGATGAAGATTGAAGACATCAATTAAGGAGCACAGTTTTAATTTCCTAAATCCACTGTTCTTAAACGCAAGTTCAAGCCTAACAGTAACAAAACATATACACACATGCATATACATATATCAATAAGAAATTGTGAAAACCAAAATCAGATTTCATTAATAAGGAGCCAATGGGTTTAGGGTAAATTTGCATAGAACTTCAAGTTTATAAAAGACAACGATAATAATAATTCAATTTAATTTAATGGAATTTGAAAGGGAACCTCAGATAATAGATGACGGTATTCATCGCAGTCCTTTGACAGCCCATGTAAAGAATACTTGTAGTCGGCAACGGTTACAACAATCTGCTTCAATAACAAATCAACTCATCAAAATTAGAAAATTTCAAAAAGTAAATAGTAAGAGAGGTTGAGAGAAAGAGAGAGAAATAGGACGGTGCGGATTGCGCGAGAAGAACGAAAGAAGCCTTGGGAAACGGAAGAGTCGGAGAAGTAGGGGAGAAAATTGGCTTGATACGAGAGGCCTCCAGCGGTGATTAGGCAAAAAGCAGCCGTGGCTCTAGCCGGAAACTTAGATACTATTTGTTTGCTCATCTGCATGTCTACTGCTCACCCAATGCCTATGGCAATTAGTGCGGGGTTTGGGTCATAGGTGCAAGTATAGATGGCTGCGGCGGGCGGTTTTTCCTTGCCCTACCACACCCGGTTTCTCGGAGGTTCTCGGATGTCTACTGCTCACCCAATGCCTATGCCTATGGCAATTAGTGCGGGGTTTGGGTCATAGGTGCAAGTATAGATGGCTGCGGCGGGCGGTTTTTCCTCGCCCTACCACACCCGGTTTCTCGGAGGTTCTCATGTGCGGCATTTAGCTTAAGACTAATATATAGCGTGATTGGTTCAACAGTTAACCGGTAAAATTTAAGGTATTATAGATTTTAATCTAAAATATTAAATATTTAATAAAAAATTAGATTGAACTTAAAATGTTATATGAAGTTTTTAATTAAAAAAATTAATATTGATGGTAACTTTTTTTTAACTTGAAAAGTTACTTTATCTATATACAACTAGGGATGGCAAACGAGTACGGTTTCGTGGATTCTGCACCGCATCCGCTCCAATTAGAGCGGGGATGGGTATAATTTTAGCGGGTAGTGGGCGGGTGTGGATTTATAAAGTGGTACCCGTCGTGGGTGGTGGGCGGGTAATGGGTTTGAGACATTACCCGCCGTGTATCCGCCCGCCCCACATCCGCCCGCCCAGCTAAATATCTATTAAATTTTGGACCATTATGAATTTAGGTGTAATTTTAGAGACTAATTTATAAATTTTAATATTATATAATATATAACATATAATTTAACTAAATATTAAGGATATTTAGTCTTTAATCTGGTATTTAATTAGGGAAATATTCGGCTCTTTGATTAAACCCATAATCCCACTAACCACGTCACTTTCCATGTTCTTTAGCCCATGCTGCCCATCCTACCCATCCAAACACAAATTAGTCGTGCTATAAGCATTAACATCAAAAGTAGCAGTTTCCATGTTCTTTAGCCCCTCAAAACCCATATTAGGCGAACTTTGAGCATTAATATCGAAAGTAACACAACAATCCAGCTTTGCGACTACATGCTCCCTATAATCTGTCTCCATAACATTCGTAGAGCCACTCCTCTGACAAATTGAAGCATGCGCTGCTACCCCATCACGAACTGTCTGGGAACCAACTCCAACATCTCATTAGTTTGTTGTCAGGCGGGTCTAGATGGGTATGTCGCTAGTGGGTAGTGGGTGTGGGGATGGATTTGAAAATGTACCCGCGTGGGCGGGTGTGGATTTGAAAATTTTTACCCATCATGGGTGGTGGGCGGGTGGTGGATTGAAAAATAGTAGGTGGGTATGGGGATGGGGGATGGGGTATCCGCACTCGACCCGCCCGTTTGCCATCCCTATATACAACAATAACAACAACAAAACTCTATTCCCATATGTAATGGGGTAAGGGGAGGTAGGGTAATAGACTGCCTCCAACGTCTGGTTGAGAGCAGCTTCTATGGAAGACCTCCGGCAGTTATAAAATTACAAATAAAGATAAAATGCAATGCATGTATAAATAAATAAATAAATAAATACATAGTTGACCATTTTTTTTTATTTTTATAAGCAGTCTTCTTATGCGCGTCTGTAATGGGAAGTAATCCCTGCAAATAAATCCCTGCATAAAAATCTCTACAATATAGACAGAAACGTAAGATCCGACTAAATTTAAAAAGAGGAAACATGAAGAGAATAACACACAGAAGTCAACGATATCAAGCTACGAGAATAAGTAAAGTCAAATGTGTTAAAACCTAAACTAAGGCAACACTACTCCGCTACCTTAGATCTAAGCCATCATAAATTCCAATGACAAAAACGTGAAGAAAGTAGAAGTCAGGGAAATTACTACAAATGCATTAAAAAGAGGACATAGATGTTATAACCTATGACTGTAAGGGCTAAATCCTTCAAATCAGATCTCAAGCAGTTTTCCCACTTCCGCCTTGGTCGTCCTCTACTTCTGGCACCGTTAACTGTAATCAACTCTACCCTCCTGACCGTATCCGATGATTGTCGCCTAAGGACATGCCCAAACCACCGTAGTCTTCCCTCCCTCATTTTTTCGGATACAGGCACCACCCCTAAGGATGTCCTAATAGCAGAGTTTGGTGTCATGTCCCACAGAGTCCTACCACATGCCCATTGAAGCATTCTCATTTCTATGGCCTCCATCCTCCTTACGTGATCCTTCTTTATTGCCCAACATTCTGATACATACAACAGTGTTGGTCATATTTCCATTCTATAAAATTTTCCCTTAAGTTTTAGAGACACCTTATTGTCACACAAAACTCTAGTAGCAGCCCTCCACTTTAGCCAACCCTCTTTTATACGGTGTGTCACGTCATCATCAACGCCCCTATTTTTATGTATCATAGACCCTAGGTACTTGAAACAATCCTTTGAGGGGATAACATGTCCTTCTATGCAAACTTCTACATCTTCATCGTTTTGTTTCCCACTGAAGTTTGAACATAAATACTTTGTCTTTTCAATATTGAGCCTTAGATATTTTTCTTCTAAAGCAGTCTTCCAAGTAGTCAGTCTATTATTCAGCTCAGTTTTTGTTTCAGCAACTAGGACAATGTCATCAGCGAAAAGCATACACCATGGAACACCGTCTGGTGTCGCACAATAGATGTCGTCCATAATCAAGGTGAAGATATAAGGGCCTAAGAGCCGACCCCTGGTGGAGTCCGATTTCCACCGGGAATGCCTGGGTGTCGCCAACTGTAGTCCTGACGTATGTAGTAGATCTAAAGTATATATCACGAATCGCCCGGATATAAGTAGTTGGGATCCGTCTCGTTTCCAAGGTCTTCCAGATCGTATTGCGGGGAACGCTATCATACGCCTTCTCAAGGTCAATGAACGCCATGTGAAGATCTATATTTTTTTCTCTATATTTCTCCATAAGCCATTGAAGTAGATGAATCGCCTCCGTAGTAGACCTGTCTAGCATAAAGCCAAATTGGTTTTTCGAAACCTTAGTAACATGTCTCAACCTAGCTTCTATCACTCTTTCCCATAGCTTCATGGTATGGCTGAGTAGTTTAATACCTCTGTAGTTGCCACAGCGTTGAGGATCTCCTTTATTCTTATAGATTGGTATCACCGTAGACTCTCTCAACTCCTCTGGCATCTTGGCAGTCTCTAAAATAATATTAAAGATGTTGGTCAACCACTGAACTCCCTCTTCTCCTGGGGCCAACCACACAGTGATAGGAATTTGATCTGGACCGACAGCTTTGTCCCTCCCCATCTTTCTAAGAGTCATTTTGACTTCATCAAACTCAATCCTACTTGTAGGGCAGTCATTGGTCGTAATATGATAGTCGGCTGACCCATCAACGGTACTATCTCTACAAGGAGAGACACCGTCATTAAATAAGCCAAAGAAGTAACTACCCCAAACTCTCTTAATATCATCATATTTCACTAAAAGAACACTGTTGTTATCCTTAATAAACCTAATGCTACCTAGATCCTTTTTTCTATTCTCCCTGGATTTTGCAAGCCTGAAGATGTCGTTTTATCCTTCCTTGGTGTCTAATCTCTTGTACATTTCCTCGTATGCCTTATCCTTTGCTTTAGCCACTGTTATATTGGCTTCCCGCTTTGCCTCCTTGTATCTTTGTTTAGCTCTCGATCTTTCTTCGTCGTAATTACATTGTAGAAACTCCTTGAAGTAAGTTTGCTTATTTTTCACCATAGTTTGGACTTCGTCGTTCCACCACCACGATTCTTTATGTTCATTGACCTTCCCTGTCGATAACCCAAGGGTGTGTTTTCCCACCTCTCTTATGGAATTTGCCATATTTTTCCATAACATATATGCATTATTTGTGTTTGTAGTTCCAAAAACTGTATTAGATAAAACCTTACTCCTAAAGTCATCAGATATCGCTCCATGTAAGTTCTTCCAAAGGATCTTAGGTTTACCAAGTTTAGCCCTCCTATGCGTGCTCCTCCCGTGGTATACGCGGAACACCAAAACCAACAATTTGTGTTGTGATGCACATGCCTCTTCAGGGAACACCTTACAGTCAATGCAAGCCCATCGATCCCGATTTCGAACCAGGATGTAATCGATTTGGGTACACTATGTCCCTTGCTATGGAACGTAATCAAGTTCACGTCTCTCTTGTTAAAGAAGGAGTTAATGACCACTGATAACTCCTTGAAAATGTCATTTTGGGACCTTTTCACTTAAGTTATTGAATGTCTAAGAGCCCATTTAGGACCATTTAGATGCATTTAGGAGCATATAGTTGCATGTGGTGGATTTCAGTTTGCCGTTGCATTTTATTTTTACAACGGTGCTACTTTATGGGAAAGATACTTGTCTGATGATGTGCAGGTGTTAAAAGCAAGGAAAAGAGGATTTAAAATGCCGTGACATAATGATATTGCTGAGCTAAATACAAATGCCAAGTTTGACTGGCATTTCGAAAGCGCACAAGGAGAAAGAAGATATTTCTTTAGCCAGCTGTCCGGATTTTACGCGTGCTCTGTCCGAGATACCCACCGCGACAGTTTGGCGCTTCAACCGCCGGTTCTGTTGATGACGTTGTCTAGTCTGACCCTGTAGATCCTGTCGGTCCTAGGGCGCCTATAGCGGGATTATGCCGGTCACTAGCCAGCTACTTAGGCTGCATCATTGCCTAGTCTGCTCGACTCCCAAGTAACTCAACCATGGTTTTGGGGTTTCCTAGGATGGTTAACACCAAAGCTTAGGATTTCTTTTCCCCTATAAATAGAGGAGGAAGCCATATTGAAGAAGACTTTAGTTCCAGCCACATTTGATCTTAAAAAGTTAGAGAGAGAAAGTCTCATCTTTCTCTGTCAATCCCACTTGTCGTGGCATTTCTTCTTGACTAGTAGAAGGGAGTGGCGTTCTAAGCATCCGAGAGGAGCTAGTTTGCTGGGAGCAGTCCTTAGTGGCCGAGGAAGGCATTTGGCAGTGCACATTGAAGGCTTTTTCTCCTCCCCTTAGTCCTTGCTTTTATATTTTGTTGTTGGGTTGTAAAGAACGAATGAATCTTGCTTTGTGCTTGTGTATTTCGATCCCCACCATGAACTAATCCTATTTGGTGGGAGTTCGCATGGTTATTTAAGTTGTTATTTTAATGAATGGTTGTTGTTTCATGCTCTATTCTGTTTTGTTTATGATGCTTAAAGCCTTGAGGTTGTAGGAGCTACGAGAGTAGCCTT